CTTTCCGCCCGGGCGGGCGCGGGCGGTACAACAGGCATACTTACGCAAACTATGCCGCGCATAGTTCATAAACATCATCCCGCTTTTGTCCCCGGCCGCCGAATTCCGTCGTTGAATTAATCGCCGCCCCGACCGCCGTAAATTATCCACAACTTTGATTTGCGCGCGAACTTATCACCAGAAAAATAATTATGGTCCGTGGGAGAGCCGGAAAGTGAGAGAGAGAGAGAGAGAGAGAGACATCCGATCTGCGCGCGTGAAATTCGCGATATCAAGAAAATTATCGCCCACCTCGTTTTGGGCCAGAGAGAAATTTCAGCGACTGCATTCGCTCGAAACGCTCGTTTAATTTCCCTCAGCCGACACATACACGCGCGTGTACACGGAGCTGTTTGCAGCCGCGGCCGAAATCATGAACTTATGCTATTTTACCAACTATGGAAAGGTCAAAAACGGCCAAGTCGAGGTCATATCGAAAATGCAATTTGCCGCGGCTAGACGTCAATTAGCTTTTCTCGCAGGAAATCTCGTTAACAATCCGCTGCGCGCCACGCGGCCCGGTATGATTAATGCGGTCGACTCGTTAAGCAGGCTCGGCGGCGGCGGTAGCGGCTGTATCCGTGCGGGTTCTGTGCTCGTTACATTAAGTTAACCCCCCCCCCCCTACCTCCCCCTCTCCCACTCTTTCCTCCTCGGTCTGCGTAGAAGGAGAAAGGAGACCAGGATTAAACGCACACGGAATGTCTCGTGACTGGCGATCCTCCAATTTTTATTAACGGCACTCTTTCTCTCCCCGTCATTCCACGAGAACCACGTGTTCGTATTTTGGAGCGCGTGCGCGACACAACCGTCACGCGCCGAAATCTCCCGTTTAAAGGGAAACGGGAGGACACGATGTAAGAAAAATAAGGCGTACCACTACCGAAGATACACAATACGGTGACTTTCTTTGATCAATCAAAATTTCGTCCCGAATTGTGAAAAACAACATGACCGCTAAGAGTGATGTACATTAAGGTAGGCTTAATCATTTATTATTATTTCATTTTATATCGTATATTCTTATTAATTTACGAACCTTCGTACTGTTTTCACAAGTTTCATCGTTTAACATTGTTCGTATTTCTGTCCTATACTTTCGTCAATACGGGGAGTTTGAATTTCGCGTTAATTTTTGCGGCGAAAGTTTGATTAATTCTCCGACTATTCCACCACTATTATGCGCAATAGTATACCTTGCCTTCTTACATCATGGCGGAGGGGGGATTTCATCTCGAGCACACTTCGCCAAGACGTATTGTTCAATGCACGATGAGGTTAACCTATATATATCGCCCTTCGTCGTCTCGCGTCATCGCTAAGATTACCATTCCGTATCCTTCAATGGCTATTTGCCAAATCCAGGAATCAGTCTCGCCACGATAATAGAACGCGGCGACGCGATTGACCCCGTGACCCGCGCATCCGCATCACTCCGTCGTGAACGAATCCCTCGCGATCCCGGCTGCTGCGAAAAAATGTCCAAGTATTTTCGTCCCGCGAGAAGCCAAGAAAAAGAAGAAGAAGTAAAAGTGTGTTCGCCGTGTATTCCCATTGTCACGGTCGGAAAAACTGTTCTTCGAATATATCCATATTCGTTGTTCATTGAAAACAGTAATACGTTATACAATCGCTTATTTTTTTTGGGGGGGGGGAATAACTCGTCATCGTTATTGTTGCCGTCACTCGAAAAGTAACGAGTCGTTATGATATCCGTCAATTACTTTCATTTTGAAAACGTTATACGATTTATTACCGGACACACACACACACACACACACATACACGCATGCACACACACGTATTAATATTCAAATGGTGGTAGAACATTATTTGGCTTCTCATGGCCTTATATTCTACCTTCACCTTTCCCCGGAGCTTCTTATTTCAAGAACATAATTATCTTGTTTTCATTGCACTAAATCACCTGTGGCATCCATCACAGGCCCTCATTGATTCTCATTCTGTTTCGATTGATTTTATTCATAGAACCGATCAATCAAGTGTTGTTTTCAAGAATAAATTCGTCATCGAGTCCTTACAGAGAAGAAAGTAGTAACTCGTGACTGCAACGCGGCCAACCTCTTGCCCGTTGCTTACCCGAGGTGCGAAAGAGAGAGTGCGACGGCGAGCGATGGCGTTTACGGTCGCGCGCGTTTATTCCTCGCGGTTTCCTCGCAGATAGTAGAAATTACTGCGCATCCTTGAGAGCGCCGGCGAAAGTTCAAATATTTATATCCGACGACCAACAGGTTCGCCGCGAAGTTCGCCGCGGCCTGCTGAAGATTTCGCGTCGCCGACGTCGCATTCCCGCAGCGGGATCCCCGCGGTCGTCTTTATCAGCCAGATTTGCGGGCGCTCGGAGATAAATTCACTCGGAGATTCGACGCTTAAGGTTGAGGATGTCTCGTCTACCGACTACGTGCCCTTAACCCTTCGAGGTGCCAAGGGTGCTCTTCGACCGCTCGCGACGTCGTTTCATCCTGGCTTCCTCTTTTCGCGCCGCGGAGAACCTCGTACGGGAGTTTATCGTCGTTTCCGCGGGATATCTCTCTCGCGGTGCGCTCTCGGAGCAAATCGGAGACTCCCCGCGGTTAAAACCACCCCCGTGCGGTTTTCGGGCGGTTTTCGAGCGCGCGGATGCGTCCGATCCGGCGGCAGTCTCGAATCGAGTTGGAGCGCGACCAACGTTAAAAGAACTTTCGGAACGAGATCAACGTCCGCTTATTCCCACAAAGCGCAAAGAGCATCCATAAAAGTCGCTCTCAGTGGCCCGGCTGCCTGCCGGCCGGCCGGGCGTGAAAAAATATCGTTTCGCGAGACTTGAAACGCATCGGCGCGTGGTGCAAAGTGAGTTGCGGCGTTGCGAAAGTGCGCTGTCAAGGTAAATGAATCGTAAAAAAAAAAAAAAAAGGAAAGCAACGGGGAAAAGGGGGAAATATTCACAACGCGAGGGGTGGGAGGCGGCGAGTCGCGCGTTCGTTTATTATTCGTCACCCCCGTAGTGCGAGACGCGCGGGCGAGCTCGCGAAATAAAGATAAATGTAAATTGAGAAAACGCCGTCCCGCGAACTAGGGTAGCAACGCGTTATATTCCTTCGTTTTAAGTTTCCCCCGCCGCGTAACGTCGCGCTGAGCGAACGGTATTTCAAAAGACGCGCGCGCGTATGAATGAAACTCGTTACTTTAATATTCCTACGCGTATATTCGACATATCTCATAACGGCTTTACTCGAACTCGATATGAATCGCGCTTAAAGTTTAAACGTACTCGCCGCGCTTTGCGCGAGCGGACGTCGAACGAGAAAGGGAGAGAGAGAGAGAGAGAGAGAGAGTAAAGTGGAGTATAGAAAGAGTATTGATAGTTAAATGTCAAACACGGCCAGAGAGCGACGGAGATGCTCGCGATGGCAGTCTCAGACGCATCATCCCGTATTCTTGAATATTTAAACGACCGCGCATCTGCCGAACGTTCGAAATTCTGCAGCAAATGCCGCAGCACCAGCGGCAACGGCAGTGGCAACGGCGGCAGCAACGTGACGGTAGGAGGCGGAAAAATAAAAAAGAAAATTCACCTCTCTCGCTCGAGTTCGCGTCTCCCTTCCTCCGCCTTCTCTTCGCCGTGAGCGCTAAGCTCGGATTCACGCTAAGAAGTTATACGCTGCACTGCAGGCAGCGTATCCATGCGGGAGCTTCGCTGCATAATGCGATGCGAAATTGCAGCGCGCAATGATAGGGATACTTTGAGAGCGTTCGCAGCCGTAAGACATCTTTGCGAGATATTTTCTTCCCACTTCGTCTTCCCCTCCCTTCCTCCGTCGTCCGGTTTAATTATTATACGCGGATAGAGAGAGCCTTTCTTGCGTTACGTAGCGACGTTGTCGGAGTTTTTAATTTAGTAATGGCAGCCAGGCCTGTCCTTCTTGCGTGGTTATTTCTGTCCGACTGCGTCGCGCGTTAATTTAATTACATTTGGAATTTTACTTCGCTAAAAATTTCGCGCACGCGCGCACGCGCGCAATACGATACGAAGCACCGAAAGTACTAGTTTCTCGACCTGTGCTTATATATCTGAATACACACACACACACACACACATGCACATGCATGGGAACTTAATGCAATCTGACAGCTGTCAGATTTGATAACTGTTGGATTCGGTGTGACGCGAGTTAATTAAAAAGTTATAGGAAAGTTAATTCGTATCAAACATGTAGTTTGTTTCAATCAAATGTTTATATATGCATATATTAATTATCATAATTACAATCACATAGAGAATCGTCATAAAATAGCCAATAAATTATTTCATTTAGATGATAAACATACCCGGATATCGGGATGGGAAATTTTAATAATCGACGCAAGTACTTTAATTTGTTGGTTCATTCATACGCTCTAAAATTATTATTATTTTTCAAATAATTAAAGTTCATGTCTCTTTCATGTTAACAAATTTTGACACATCAGCCTTCTATTAATTATAAAATCAGATCACATTTTGAATATCGTGTATTTCTCTCACGAAAATTAAGCAATCTTGGCCATTCGTCGTTGGATGACCGCCGATTGGGAGACACTTGCCTTTCTTTTCAATAACAAAACGAAGTTCGACAGATCGCCGTGAATTATGACCCCCCCCCCTCCCTCAACGAGTTTATGGTGTATGGCTTCGAGGACATACGGTATTGTTATTCTCGACTCTCGACAGCGGGAGTCGCACGTTCAGACGTCGGGAGATAAACGCCGTAAGAAACGGTAATTTGCAAGCCTTCTCGTCTGAAACTCCGATTATAAATGAGAAATCCTCGCGTTCATAACACGCACCCCCATCGCTCACTCGTCTCATCGCGCCGGTTGTTGTTGTTGCGTCACACCGTTTCTGCTGAGCGTTATTTATAAGCGCTCCTGTTAATTCGCGGGCTAAGCACAGTTACCTAACGTCACGATGCCTGTTACAGAGTTTACGCAACATGATGACGAATACGACGGACGCCTGCGAGACTCGCGACCCGTGCCAGCATGGCGGCATCTGCATCTCCACGGACAGCGGGCCGATCTGTGAGTGTCGTACCGGAGATTACGAGGGCGCCTACTGCGAGAAAGGTATGTCGTTGGAGTGCATTTTGCATTATGATATAATTACAAGCGAACGCGCCCTCACGGAGAAAGGGACAGATATACAGGGTGACTACAACCAACAGGCAGTGACTATTACCACACACACACACACACACACATACGCACCTTGAGTATATCTTGGGAAAATATTTTATTAACGGCTAGATGAGAGAAGATTACGTTTGCAGAAACAAAATTTACAGCAGGTTTTTGGCGTAATGAACGTTAATGTTAATGCAATTTCTGTCAGATAAATTTTTTCCCACTCGCATATTTCGAAATTATTCGAGGCGATGTGTAATATTTATTATCTCGCCTTGTAACATGCGTATATACGTTTACGAGCTCAGCTTTTAGATTTTTATTCGTTTTAGCCGAGACGAATGCATTTCGTCCAGCTCAACACCGAGATGTATATTCGATGCAAATTTGATACACAGCCTTGGCCGAGCATACGGCACGTAATTAATGAGTGACGACGAATTAAATTGGCCGGCATAATAAATGAAAAATTTCATTAGCGATTTAAGACACTCCCTGACAAAATTATTAGAATTTATCGTGAGAATTTCTGCCTCGTCGACTAATTGCGGCATACGAGAGAGAGAGAGAGAAAGAGAGAGGGAGAGAGTTTGTCTTGATTTACCGCGATTTAATAAAGACGCTCCGTGTCTCCCTTTGGCCAAGGTTGTATTCAATTTCATCCTTGACATTTATACCGCAATTCGTTCTACGCTCGGCTTTAATATTACTTTCAACATTCCCTATATCCCGCCGTTTCATTAATTTACAATCCATATTATCCCCGTGATATTCTCCCGGTTTCCGCGTCCATTGTCCGTCCGCCTGCCCGCTCGTCCGCCTCTCCACTCGTTCGTTGGTAATTTATTAACGTCGCAGATCGCGTTCTGTTAAATTCAATATCAATCACCCGCTTGCGTAACATTCGCCGCGCAAACGGTAAAGCTCTCTTTCAAATATTCATCATTTCTTATGAATCACGCGGCAATGTGTGTCATCCGTCGTTTTTTCCCTCCTCCTTTTTTCCCCCAGCTCGCTGTTTTTCCTCTTTTTCTCATCTCATTCCGCGCGATCGACCGCGCATTTCGCCTTTTCAAAAATCCTGCATTTTATTTCCCGTTAATCTGTACGCGCGTATTCACCCGCGGGAGGGAGGGAAGAGAGGGCGGGAGGGGAAGAACGCGCGTCACCTAATGAGGCGTAATTGCCGGCAGCTGCAGAAACGAGATGACGTTTCGGAATGATTTTTCCGTCCCTTAAGCCGGTGGCAATTAGAGAAGCCGGGCCGAGTCGTCTGGGTCGTTCCAAGACATTTCGCCGATAATTACAATCAGACTTCTTCCTCGTTAATGAGGTGCGCGCACAAGGAGTCGTTAACACGAGCGCGATTCCGAAGTCGCGAAGTCGAGAGCGAAATATGCAAAAGTTGCTCGTTACACCTCGGCGTTCGTTTCGTCGGGACGACCGCTGCGACCTCGAGAGGATTTTTTCTGCCGGTCGCGCTCTGCAGTATTATCGATTCGGACCGAGGCGATCCATAAGCCGAGAAACAATAACGTTCGTGGTTGGTGCGTGGTTCTCGCAGGTGACACGGGTCTTCTTCGGGGAAATACAGAAGGCCGCGTCCCGCGTACTTAACAGCGGACGGCGAGATTACGTTTCCCCGCCTGTTGCGGATGAGCAACGGAGGATTCACTTTAATTGCGGTTTACTCCGTGCGATAAAATTCCGCGTTTCCTCACGCCTCTGCGGTGGAGGGAGCGTTTTTCGAGCGTGCGGCGGCCGGAGGCAATTTCACCGCAGTTCCGGCGGATTTCTTCCCGTTTCTCTCCGTTATTGTAGGCGAGCGGCGCGACGGCTGCGACGTGCGTCCACGTCCTTTTGAGAACGTTATTCTTACGAATAATGATGATGATGATAATAATAATAATAATAATAATATAATATCGGAAATATTGAAAATTCCTCCCTTTGATGCGCATTCGATACAATAAGCGGATGCGCTTAATGAAACGGTTTCTGCGCGATTCGCGATATTTTCCCGCGGAGAGTTTAGCAAGGAGGAACGCCGAGTCGCCGCTATTCCGAATAAACAATTTTCCTCCATCGACGATCGCAGCGTGTTTATTCAAAGGCCGCGCGCTCGGCTGATAATTGCGAATCTTTGCGAACTCACGGCCAGAGTCTTTTGTCGCTAGCAAGGAGAGAGAGAGAGAGGACGGGGGAGGGAGGACCTAAAGAGAGACCATCATTCCGTAGGAACGTGAAACTTCAAAGACGACTCCTTCGCAAAAGGAACCAGGACAATTTCATTTTAATTCCTCTCTTAACGGCTTTTTCTCAGGGCGCGATTGTCCTCGTCGTGCCTGACAGAAACGGTCGTTATACGCGATATAATGTAATTTCCAGCCTTAATGACCATGTTGAAACGAATAGAGGTAAAATGGGAAAGAAAAAGTGGGAAGGAGGGAGTGAAGGAAAGAAGGGAGGATGACGAAGGGATGAGAATGTTACAGCGCGGGCAGGCAGGATAGAATAGCGAAACTAGAAACGACGACTGCGGGACGAAGACAAAGAAGAAGGAAGCTCGGGATTTATTAGGGTCAAAATAATCAGTCTGCCGGGATCTCTTAACAAATATCGCGGAAAATTGAATGCTGTTAGCGAGAGAAGGAGAGAAAGAGAGGAAAAGATAAAGCAGGAGGTGGAAGAGAAACACGATCGACGAGCTAACAGCTCGCATCCCGTGGCGGATCCATGAAGAATAAACACAAATTCGAAGATATTCCCCCGAGTATTTGAAATAATAAGTCGGGTATTCTTACGTTTCTGAATAGACAATTTTCTTCTTCGAAGGTAAGGTTTCAATTGGTGATAAAGTTATCGTATGGTGAAAATAAATGAATAAGTTATTCTAATAATATACGTGTTAAATACGTAAAATTTATTTTGTTCGAAAATATAAGTATTGAGGATTTTATAATTGTATTAGATTTTTTTAAATTTATGATAAAATTTTAATTAACTCATGATATATTTTCAAAAGTGACGGAAGTGCCATTTAGGATTTAATAGGGCATTCAGCTTAGTGGCACGATTGAAGGTCGAAGATCAATGACGCTTTGTAGCTCTTACATGGAGAAAAAGAGTTTGGTATTTGTAACTATAGTCACATAAACGAAGAAATTACAGTCAAGAGAGCTATTCTTTTAATAAACATTGCCATAATGTCAGTGACAATAACTTCACATGCATATTACTGCTACTGTTTTGTGGGCTAAAACCGTAAGAAAACATAATGAGACCAAAAATGGATATAATTTTAGGGGGATTATCTCGGTATAGATTTTAAATCGGGAGGAACAATAATAAGCGGATGAGAGTCGACGCGAGACAAATTTCATTTCATTCAATCTTTGTTTCTAAGATTATTAAGGACGTTTTTCGCAAGTCGAAGATAATTTTGTTATTACATTAAACCAAACGTTTCGGTCACACGATTTTAGGTTCTTCTCAATGGCGTGAACTCTACATAGATTGGGATGCGGACTCTTTCTTAAGGACTGTCTTTTTGATGAAACTTCTTCTCGGAAGTTCTTCGCATTCGAATTATAGAAAGCTGCGCGTTCTGTTTCTTTTCTTATGTTGCCGTAAGAAACGTAAGGGTTTTCGCTGTAAATCTAAATGTATTATTTTGTTACCTGCATAAGCATGCAATTTGCGAGAAGCTCTTTTTACATGTTCCATGTCGTTTAAATCGCAATCGTTTAAAGGTATCAAATTAACACGCTGCGATTAAAACATTGCACAGAGAAAACTATTATTGTACTGCGAAGAAAAGCAACTACACGGTTTATTTTTCTCCTTTTATCTTGAATAAAGAATATTTCCTTGATAATAATAATATTAAATAATACTAAAATTTGTTCATCGCAAATATTAGAGAAATTTATTATCATTTATTTAAAAGAAGAATTTGTTCTCTATTCAAAAATATATACTTTATCAAAAAAAAGTTAAATTTGCTTAATTGGAATAAATAAATGAAAATTTTAGTTTTAGTGTTTTTATTTAATACTATTGAAATATAAAATTTATCAGGATTTAGAATATATTTTTAATATACTTGATTCTTAAGATGAATTTATGATATATTTGTGGATATATATAAACTTTATGAAATACCTGAAACGAGTAATATTTCCTTGAATGCAGTATGTATTTTTCTGTGCGTAGAGAACGTTTAAAAAGAGCTTCGGCTAAATTACACGCTTATGCGTGCGTCGATAACACATCTAGATTTGCAGCGTCGTCCGAGCGTTGTCAAGTGACGCATGCTTCGGCTCTTTACTTTCCTCCTTTCTTTCTTTGTTCTCGCATAGAGGCATGGAGCACGGTGCTGCCTACGGCGGGTGCTGGCGATTACTGGGCTTGGGATTACAGTGAGTCTCGCTAATTACTAATCCACGATAACGTGGGAACGGTGGTAGAAGTATCAGTACGAGTAATCAGTAGTAGATCGTAGCTCTAGTCACGATGTTCCTGTGTACTACGTGTATACCCCTTTGGAGGCGCACCCGGATGGATTCTTTATTAACGCGAAATTGAGTGGCGCGTGAATGAGATAGCGGGACGTGTAATTTGCCGGCCGGGAAAGTAGACGGCAACGCCCGGTTGAAACGTTACTTACAGGGATCGAAATATATAATTTCAGGTCTCGCTCTTTTCGCACACGCGTAAGTGCGCTCGGGTTATCTGTGTGGGTGGTGCGCGTGTGTGTGTATATATATATATGTTTGTCTCCGCCCTGGAAAATTAGCGAATTTTGCAACCGTTTTGTCAGAAGTACAAAACATTTGGTATCCCTTATTATTTCCACACTGACGTTCAATGTGGATTTAGATAAATTGCACATTTCGTTGCTCCATCCTGTTTGAAGTCGTAGAGAAGTCGTTTAGATATCG